TCAGCGCTGAAATATAGCCAACGGCTGTTGCGTTGAAGCTTAAAATAAAATAAATAAATAAATAAATATGTATGTACCTAATATGAACATTTGTACATTCCTACGTACCTGTACATAGTATCTACTAGCAGTGAAATGGAAACTCTGACGTAGGGTGTGTGGCGGTGGACTGAAATACTTTATTAACCCAGGCCCTACATCCACGCTTCCTTAAACACACACCTTTACATATGTATATAGCTAAAGTTAAAAAAAAAATGTATTTTCCCACGTTGAGTTTTGCAAATGTTGCGCAACAGTGGCGCCGAACAATGGCGTCAATTGGATGGCGGCACAAAAGAAGCGCCGCCATTTGCATGCAGCATCGCTCAATAATTGCATTTGAACGGCAATTACGCACACATAGCTGATCATTCAAATACATATGTATACATACATAAATGCAAATTTGTGTACAAATGCGTACCCTGTAGGAAAACTACAAGTTATGAGCTAGAATACTAAGTACCACTTAGGCCAATGCACAAATAGCATTGAAATGCAAAAGTTAGAAGTTCCTAGTTTAGAATGAAACGATTGAAGTGCACAATAAACACTCCTCAAATATAGGGCAAGAATAGTAGCGCTGTGATACCATATGGAATACTAATCCCTTTCGGTGCTATGAGCTCTGACCACTGTCTTATTTCCAGCTGTCTGATTCTCTGCAAGGAATTCATTGAATGGTTTGCCAAGCCGCTTCTATGATCGTGCAACTACAACATTGGTCCGATGCGTAAACCTCTGGTCTTATGTAAAAAAATATCAGATAAACTTTGCCATTCATTTTTGTCTTAAAACATAAATAATACATATGAGTATTAGTCAAGATGTTTTATATACATATAAGAAAATCATATGCCACAATTATACCATTCTCTCCAATTACGATCGCGAATTATCCAATTACCACGGGCCCATTCTTAATTCGATTTGACAGTTCTCTGAGTCTGCGTTTTGTTTTTGTTTTTCTTCGCTGTAAAATTGATGCAAAATGTTGGTTCTTCGTAAAAGTTTATAAGTTTCCGTAATGAATTAGGGATATACATACACATTGATAAACTTAACTTTTCGTTTTGGGAGCTAGTTTCGATAAATTTCCGATAAAATTAGAGACGGCATCGGTTTATTCGTAATTCGCATGGTAATTGGATCTGAATTACCAACAAATGAGGTAATTCGCTCTCAAAATTTGGTATGGCGCATTAAGTAATTCGAAGAGAAATTGGAGTGCGAAATACAAATGAGAGAGCAAACTACGTAATTGGGGTGCCGCATTAGAGAGGATTCAAATAGTTTTATTGATAATCGGCACGACAAATTTTTCATTGTACGATTAATACTATTTTGCAAATTATTTAATCTAAATTTCTAATAATATTATTAAGCTGAGGTACATATTTCACAATAACTAAGGCTTATTTAATTTGAAGACCTCAACCGCCTCCAAGCCGACTTGAATCTGCTTTCTCAGAACCAGAAGGCGTAGCATTCACGCAACGTCACAGTCGATATTCGCAAGAAGACAATTACATACATACATACGTTGCAGTTTTCACAATTTGAAGACCGATGACGCCTAGCTGCGGTGACCATACGTACCGATATTGGCGGGGCAGTACCGATTTTGAGAAAATTATCACGCTCATCATTATTTTTTAAAAGGCGGGACACGATTTTTTATATTTATACCAATTAAATACCGATATTCAGTGTTTTCTTTATGAATTTAACAAGAATCTCCCTATACTCTGGTCCAAAAACCATTTTCGGACAAACGTGGCAGCACTTTCGTACTTATTTTCTATGATATATGGTTATGTTTTATCTTGTAAAACTGGTATTCTCGTTATATTGCCATCTATCATCCTTGTCTAAATTTTGCTTTAAGGTTTTCATAATTATTTTTCAAGTTTTTTTTATAAAAAATAATACTAAGTCCCCAAAAAATGCGTGGATATGAAAAAAATAAAAGCTGTAGATATATCGCACGTTTGAAATATAGAGATGTAACTCAAAATTTACTTTTTTGGATATTTCATTATGCAATTAATAAGCTTGATAAGTAGAATAGCCTCTGCCTAACAGATGACTTCATTTCCCAAAAAATGGCGAAGATATGTGTCTTTCCATCTGCCTTTTGGTACACCAACTGCATGAATTCATCAAACATTGATTGGGTTTTCCCAAAAAACTGAAATTTTAAAATAATTCGTTATATTATTAAACGTGCGATATGGTGTCTATACATTTTTGTGTTTTTTTTTCTCTTTTTGTTTTAAATAAAACTCCTTTAAAATATGTTAGGTCATTTTATTATAAAAAAAAAAAACAAATTTATATGTCTGGATTCGATGCTTTAGAAATGTCCCAATTTTTGTCCGCAGAAATCTGGTCACCGTACGCTTAGCGCATTACCGCACTTTAGGCCTCCATTCATGAACTAGTTTGGCTTTTCACTGCAGGGTCTTTTGCGCGTTTCTTGCTGCACCGTGCTTAATATTTTGTTGTTTTTCACACGGTTACACATACCTTCACATTTAGGTTAGTAGATATAATGCGCTTTTAATGTACATCCATAACTCATGCCAAGGCTTGCATACATACATACATACATATGCAGATCAATACCTACAGGCAGGCAAGAACTTATGCACCTAGTTTTGGTTGCCCTTGCCACTTGCAGCATTCCCAGTTCCGTTTCCGCAGGCGGCCATGTTGCTGCACTCATCATGCCCTTCCATTCCCTATCTCCCATCATACCCATCATAGCACTTTACCAACAGAATTGACGCCCACATTTTGTTGGCGTCACACAACGCTGAGCACTAAACCAATTAATTACTCCCCATATGCTTTGCTCCACAGTTCAATTGCATGCAAAATGACGCCATCTCTCTTCCAAATGCTGCTATTGGCTGCTGCAACGATAGGAATAGCGCAAACGCGGCATTTACCCGCCAAGGAATTGGCAAAACACCAAGTGACGTCATCACTGGGCACAAGGGTTGCTAGCGTTGCTAGCGTTGAAACGCAGAGCATTCTCAAATATTACAACAACAACCACACGAGCTTTGCGGTAGAGGGCGCAAACGCTAGCTCAACACAGCAGCCGCAGCCGCAGCCAGCATTGGAGCATCCAAGGCAAAGACAATTGAGGCTCGAGGACGACGGCAACGGCATCGCTTTGACTGTCTACATCAGATCGCCGAAGAGTGTAGTTCAGGACTGGAGTTTGGTGTGCCAACAGCTCTGCGGGTAAGTCTCAAAGTGACAAATAGTTCAGTGGAAAATGAAAGAAATTTCACTTCGGAGTTAAGTAAATTACATAAATTGAAGAAGAGTGAAGTGATACGGGACAATTTTTTTTCTTAATTTTACGTGTGTGCTTTTGTGACAGTATGCAAAACTTTACAGATTTTCAAAAAAGGCAAATTTCATATAAAAGCGATACATTTTTTTTTTGTAACTGCCAATATAATAAAAGTTGTTCAAAAAGTGTCTGCAAATCCAAAAACTATGTGGTCTAATGCTTACCTTGGTGTGTTCTCTCGCATTTGCAGAGCTGGCCTGGGCGGTCCGCCGTGCGATTCCCACTGCCACAGCAGCGAGGAACCGTCGCTTCTACCAGCGTTTTCCGGCAACAAACAAAATATTTGCAAGGATCTTTGTAGACTACAGCTCGGTGAGTGATTAAACAAATAAATATATACTTTATTACATCCTTTAGTCATTAAGTATACACCAATTAATATAATTTACAAAATACAAACAATTTAATTGTTAAAGTTGGCAAAGGCAAAATTGTGTAAGCAAGTGTGCAAAGATTTCATCTACAGATATTTATAGCCTCAGTGACGCAATGTGGTTTGCATTGGAGGTAATTATAGACCAACTCCAGCCAAAAGTCAAGCTCAGTTTTTCTAAAAACCCAGTAAAAAGTAAAAAAAGTTCGGTTCGGTTTTCGATTCGGATCAACAATTTTTTGGTGAATTAAGGCATTATTTCCCAGCTTATGTATATTCTAGACCTGTGGGTGAGGAGTAGGCAGAAGTATTTACACTAAGGCAATTGGTTCAGTTTTATTATACAAATTTTACGAGATTATTTTGAAAACCACTGTTTTCCTAACAACAAAACCAATTTTTTTCTTCAAGTTTTTGTACACATATACCCGTAACTAGATTTATAGATATGTTTTTCAAATGGCATGAAATATAACAGTTTCTCCAAGGTCACTGTGTGTATATTAATCCTAGTAAAGATTGAGGTTAGTTTGGATTAAAGGGTTATGAGAGAATCAGCCCCATTTTTTAACCGATTTCAATAAAGGAGGAGATTATCAGTTCATCGGAATATTTTTTTGTATGTACGTTAGCGCATAACTTTGGACCACGTTCACCAATTTCTATAACTTCTTCTTTTTTTTTTTGAGGAAAGGTGGTACCCTTAGAGGTGGTTCCATACTAATTTGGTTTAGATCCGATCATTGGATCAGGAAGGAAATTAACGGTATTCCCAATTTTTTTATATGAGATTTAAAGTCGGGTTTTATTTTCGCTAAAAATTATTTGTTAACCTAAAACTATAGAAAACAATTCTGAAAATTAAATGGGTAGCGGTAATTCAAATAGAATCACGCGTGATTTTACCAAACTGCACGTATATGCATTATATATACGTATGTATGCACATATCTAGAAAGAAGAATCCACAAGCAGAACTCTCAGCAAAGTTTGTGCGTATATATGTATGTACGTGCATACATATTTCGTTATGAGGGTGGTTCGCAAAGACTGCTCAAAGCGATTCGTTATAGCGGCAGGAGGGTGGCTCGAAGATATCGCTCGCCATAATTTCATACAGGTAGTATATGAAAATAGTGCTTTAGTGGCTGTATGATTGTCAATAAATATAAATGTTTGTTCGCTCACTTGGCGCATTTATTTGCATCAGTAATAGTGAAGGTCAGCTTGTACTCCTTCGTTCATTTTGGAACCGATCGTGTAAATGTACGTTGTATTATCTACTACATCAGATATGAAAAATACTATATGTACATTAGTGTCGTCCACAAATTGTTAAGTCGGAATATCAATGCTCTCACCCCCTAGGATTGTTCTATATCGAAAAAATATACTCCTATTTTTTATTTTCAAATCAAAAAATATTTAGGGGTCGCTCAAAGATTCCCATGTATTTTGTATGGAAAAAAAACAACTTTTCTAAGAAATGGTAAAGAATTCTTGAAAATAGATATTTTTCGATCGGAAAACTTTGGTTCTCTTCAGGAGACTTCTAACAACAATACCCAATTATTTGTTTAGCCATTTGCTTCATTTTCTGGAATTTTTTGGGGGTTTTGGCGGACCTATAAAATAGTTACTATAAAAAAAATGGTTAAATAAATAATTAGGTACTGTGAATGGGAATCTCCTGAAGAGAAACAATCCTAAGGGGATGAGAGCATAAAAATTCCGACTTTACTTTTTCCCCACATTAATTTTTGGACCACCCTAATGTACATACAAATTTTTAAAATCGCTATCGTGAACGAATAGCATATCCATCCAGCAAACAAATAGCTAGGATCACTCTCTATAAACAGTTGGAAGCGATAATTTAGAAAATCAATACACCAGCAACTTGCCTAGTATCCGACAAGCATTTCATATTACCTTCTCCTTTTAAAATTTTCATGAACAGGTGATCAGAGTTGCAACTGCACGGCTGACGATGTGGCCACTACTATGTCACAAAACACTACGAACTCCCAGTACGAATGGGGCAATGCAGTCTGCAGCAGCTTTTGTGAACATTCCAGAGAAACGCTGACCGGCTGTAGCATCTGCATGGAGGACGACGCGGAAGTGCAGGTTTCGATGCGATCCACGGTGGAAACAACAACACCAGACTGGAAGGAGTTGTGTGTCGCTTTATGTAAAACTGGCGATGGCGGGTCTTTGTGCAATTGTGATTTGGCGCCGTTTTTTTAAAGATCTAGCAGGGCGCGAGCACGGGTGGGCAACATTAAACATTCGGATGTTTGAAAACAACCTGGACAAAGAGACTTTCACTACCTGTGAAATGTTGCTGACTTTTAGCTGCTCTGCGAGGTCTCTTAAATGAAATTTATTTCGACGACAACACTTTTTAGTTATATTGTTAACTGTTTTAATTGGCTTAACTTAAGGTATGTTATTAAAGAAATAAACTACAACTCATACATACATACATATATGTGAGAATAATTTATGTTACAGACTTACAGAAATTATAACTCAGTTAAATTTTCATGGCTAGAAGAAACTTTAGCCAATTCAAGTTGCTTTCATTTGTTACGTTTATGCCGTACATAGATACATACATATACAATATGTAAAGCCCAGAAGGTGTGGCAAGCGTTGCATGAGAGTGAGAAAGTAGACGTGTCAAATTAAAATAAAAAGTGAAAAAAAACTAAATCAACTAATCCCTATGCGAATCAATTAATTTATAATTAATTTGAATTATAGTTAAAGGAAAGAGAGAGAGTGTTTAACTAACGAAAATATACTACAAAAACAATTATATACATAAAGCTGCAGTATATACTAGAAGAGACGTAGACGAATATACATACATATATACATATATATATATACATACAAACACATATCCATGGCTAAATGCTTATATACATACTACATCTATACATACAAATTTAAGGTGCTTTCCATGCATAACATACATACTTACATAATACAAGCACTTAATTGCATACATACATACATATCTAATCCAGAGTTGTCGAGTTTTTCCGTTCAAGTTCTTGTTGCACAATTTTCAAACGAAACTACCAAAGAAAAAATTGGGAAAAAAATACAACAACAAAATCACCAAAGGGCTTCCAGGATGCCAGCGTGGAATTTTTGAGTCTTGTCTCTTTAGGGAAAGCAAAAATCCAGCTGGCATACAAAACTCAAAGTGTAGAGTGTAAAAGTAGGTTAATAAAACTAAACGTGTTAAAAGTGCGATGATTCGAGATTTTGTGCAACAGTGAAAACAAAAACAAAGAAAAAAAAAACGAAAACCAAAAGAAAACAATAAATTATTATTTGAACTTTTTTAATGGTTTTCATTGGATTGGTTTTTGGATTTTTGGGCGTTTCTCTTAAACTTGAATAACTGGGAAACTCGAGACTCGACAAATATTACAACCATGCCATAGTTTCGAGCTTTTTGAAATTTTCGAAACATTTTTCAGTTTAAGGGAATGCACTTAATATTTTATTTATCTTCAGCAACTATCTGAAACGGTAGATTATTTTACTTTGGTAAAAAATCAAAATAGATTACAGTAACTAATTTTAATTTTTACAAATTTATTTAATTTATTTGCCAACAATATTTTAAACCGTTCTATTACGAAATTTTGCACATATAAATATGTATAAAAAAGTATAGACAAAAAAATGTATAATCAAAAAAATAGGTATATTATTTTAGCCAACAAGCTGGAGTAAGCTTATAAACAGTAAATAAAAAACAATTTTGTAGTACTATTAAGCTACTTTGGAAGACAAAAAAAAAACCAATAATTATAGTAAGTAGGAATTAATGGAAATCAGAAAATCGTTTTGGAAGACATTTTTCATTTTTACGAAAAGTAAACTTTTCGGAAAACATGTGAATTTTAAAATAATTATGCCATTATAAAGTTTGGAAGACAAAGCCGTGAACTTGAATATCTTTGACCCAAGCAACGGTAAAACTTGTATATTCATACACTCATAAATAAATGCAAAAACCTAGAAAAAAAGCTTAAGGGGGATTACACAAAAAATATTAACGTAACTTAGCCAAATTATTAAAATATCAAAAATATATATGCGTACATATAAATTAAAAAAAAAACGCAATACTTATAAATTCTAACCGTTAAATGTATAAAAAAAAACAAAAACAAATTAAAATTTTCATTTCACTTCGATGAAAGCTCAAACCAATAGGCACGCAAAGCTTTCCGCCAACTGCCGCGATTACGATCCCCAGCAGGCGGAAGAAGCAAAGCGGGTGTTTTAATTTGGCTTAAATCTACGCTGTGACTGACAATAAAGGCAAATTCTTGAGGCGAACACACTCCTGTGGCTTCCTCATAGCCAATGTCCGGAGGAGGAGGCGTTTGCAGAGAATTTCCATTTCGACATAGCGCAAACTAATACACACACAAATACCCAATAAACATAAACAAAAACTATTTAAAAAAAAATGTGTAAATGTTAGCTGCATATGACTAAGTAAAGTAAGACAACGCATACATACGCATATACATACTTCCATGTGAACGTAATAAGTTTGTAAAAAATCATTATTTAAGCAGATCACAACAATGGCATTCAAAGCAAAGAGCAAACGCAATAACTTAGCATAAATCTTAAATGTAAAAAAAAATAGAAAGTACCTACTTATTTACATACCAACCAACCCATTTTTGATTTCAAAATTTGTTTAGCATTTGTCCACAATTTTATGGAGGCAAAGTTTCAGAGCACAGCCAAAGATAGTCGAGAAACAATTTTTGATGTCGACAACATTTTATGACCCAACCATTTACTGGAATGTAGCCAAACAAAAAAAAAAAAACAAAAATGAAAAGTTTAAAGAAATTTAACTCTTAAAATGCACACTAACTTAACTCATTCGTTTTCAATTTCAGTGTAACTGTAACTTGTATGTATGTCAAAAATTGTATTTTAAAGCACTTAAACAAATCCCGAATGCACGCACCCTTTATCCCGATATAATATATGTATATGTAAACTTATGTATTAAATCAACAATAAAAAATATAATTTTCACTTTAATTATGCACTTTGTCTGTTGATTATAGTAAATACATATGTATGTAATTAAATGAATGTATTTGAACTTATTGTAATTGTATTGTAATCTAATTGTAGTTAACTGCCATTCGACTTTGTTTTTCTCTCGAAAGAAATCGTTTAGTCCGAAGAAAGTCAACTTAGTTGTTGTCCAAAGGAAGTTATCTCTTCAAATTAATTATTATCTTTAAAAGCAAAAATAAAAAAATAAAACAACTTTATAAATACATATGTGTGTGTAGCTGATATACATAAAATAAATAAAAGTCATGCATATGTATAAAATAATTGTCCTTTTTGTGACTACACAACACAAAACTAAGCAAATGAAGAGTGTGGAACGAAAGGAGGAGTGTTACAAAAATCTGTTCGCCTATTAATTCATATACAACAAGCAAAAATATATAAAACAAGTAAAAGTTAATAAACAATTACATAGTTGAATGTTGTGAAGTCAGATGCGCTGTTTTTTTTTTTCATTTCTTATTAGCGTTTATTGGTAAGTGTTTTTACAGTGTGTAACAGGGTGGTCCCACCACATTTTGCTCAAAATTTGTTCGCAAACTTATTGACGAAGGTAAAGTAAAGCCAAGGTCCGCATGCGGCTCTGTGCAATGCAGAACGTGCGTCAGGCAACGCGGCAAATGTTCGACGTCGAGAAGATGCAGTCACAACAGACAGCCGAGAAATTTGGCAATCGACTCTCAATTCTGCTAAAAAAAAAGAAACTGTTCATCGAGAAGGAGGAATTCATCTTCCAATCTCTTCGTGCCGCCCACGCAGGAATAGCTGGTATGACCAAGAGTGCCGTGCGGCTGCTGCAAAGAAATACGCAACATACGATGCCACCCAGCGGCCAATAGCAATGCGAGCGCGAGTGGAACGATACCGGTAGATGAGTAGGGAGGAGATATGTCTATTCAAAAGAAAGAAACGAGAGGCAGAAAGACGCGACTTCGAAGAGCTTGAGATGCTGGCAGACAGGAATAAGGCTCGAAAATTCTATCAAAAAATAAGGCAACAATAAAATTGTTTCAAGACCGGGGCTGGTTTCTGTAAATAGAGCTGAAGATGGAAATCTGGTAGAGCTGAAGTTGGAAATCTGCTAGAAGTCCATGGTACACTTGACATGTGAAGTGAACACTACTCAACGTTTCTGAATGGCGACACATGTGACGCGCTTGATGAGGAAGAACCCGAACCAATGTATAGAGACGAAGGTCACCTTCCTCCACTTGGCCAAGATGAAGCAGAATTTCGTTTGATGAATACACGCCCGAAGATTGGCATCTCAGTGTACTTTGTCCAATCCACAAGAAGGGAACTCACGCGTACCGAAGAAGATGGAGTGACGAACTGTACGAGCTTTTTAACGGAATGGACATGGTTAAGCGATGACAGCGCGCTCCGGGGAAAAGATCCTTTGACTTCGCACCCATGCGTGGACGACGAAAGCAGGGGCAGCCGCGAACACGATGGAAGGACCAAGTGCAGAGGGACCTGTCCGCACTTGGGATGAACAACTGGCGCAAATCCACAAAGGAGAGAGGCAACTGACGAAGCTTTTTGGTCACGGCCCAAACCGACCAATGGTTATGGTGCCAAATAAGAAGAAGAAGAAAGTATGGGCTGTCTAAACCGGGTAACGCAAGTATGTGAAACTTAATTTAAAAACAGTTTTATTGAGCTGTATTCCGCTATTGGTTTTTAGGAAAAATTGTTAAACAAAAAAAATTAGGAAATTTTGTAGTTATCATTTCGTAAGACTTCTTTCCAAACTTCAGCAGGTGAGCAGTGTTGCCAGAACTTTTTGGGCCGACCGGCTAGATTGGCAAAAAAAAGCGGCTAAAAACGGCTAAAATGTTTTAGTGAAATTTCACATAGACTCTGGCAAAAAACGACTAAAATAAATCGCAAGAAACGAAAGACTAGTTAACACCATTAATTTATATCGAGTGTATATTCCTCATCATCAAATGAATCACTATTGTATATATCACCTGAATTCATTAATTTTAAGAGATCGTCATCTACAGTAAAATTATGGCAGCATTTTTCTTCACGTTTTAAACCGTATCTTATATATAAAATAGCGTTTAACGTTTTAACGCACATTGGATTTCTTTGCTTAGTTTTTATTATATTCATTGAACTAAATATTCGCTCTACTTCTGCATTACTTATAGGCAAAACAAGAAAACTAAAAACTAGGTTGGAAAGGTCAG